ATTATTATGGCAGCTATAAATAAATACAATGATAATTTATGAGAGATATATATGAGATAGTCGTCCGATTTTTCAAGTGTATAAAACACAACATTTTGTGCAGAAACAAGTTAGTCTCTGAGTTTAAAAGCTATCTTAATGAAACTTTGCAATTAGTCTTCAATATACTCTCACTCGTATATATGCCGGATCGGACGATTATATCATCTAACTGCCAAATGAACGATCGGAAGATTTTTAGAAATCAATTATCCCTTCGAGTTTTAAACAGATTTTCATCAAATTTGAGATATACCCCTTTAATATTTAAATTATTCATTTACTAGCTGTACTAGTACTGTTTTTTGGTTTGGAAGATTTGATATATATTTAGGCTATTGCGTTCATTTTTTATAATTTGAACATAAGGATCTAAAGGGATTATGCAGACATTACTGCTCACAATCCATACTTTAAGAATTTACTCAAGCACCTTTTAATAAGCACCCCCTTAAGTCACTATGCACGAAATTTGATGGCTAAATTCTAATTAAGGATCCATGCGAAACTTTAACCATCAACTGCATTTAAAGTGTAGAAATTCTGCGTATAAGTCTCAAGCTTGTAATGACACGTGAGAAAGTAATTAGACTTAGCTGATAGCTATAAAAATTTGTTAATAAATCTGACTGGCATAGCTGTCCTTATTTTGCATATAAAATTTAACATCATCAGCTTACGTAAATACTCTAGAGTTAGTCAGAAGAAGGAAGATCTTAAATACATAAAAGAAACAATAAAGGCCAATATAAACGGTCGTATTTTCAAACGTATGCGAGAAAGGATTTGTTTGAGGTTTTTTTTCATGCTATTCAATTGTTTGGATTTCTGGGAGAACTGGACCCTGCAATAAGTTTTTGCAACGATTTTGTTATTCTCGCCGTTAAATATTATTAATTATTTTATTTAAAAAAATTGTTACATTCAAAAGTAAAAAAAAAAATTCAAAATTATATAGGTTAGTTTAGGTAAGGTTAACCCGTTGGCCCTAATGGGGGCCAAGCATAGGCCAATATGGCCCTTATTTATCTAGATGTTATTATTATATGGACCTAGTATTGAAGTCCTTGAGGATCGCGGTGTTTTTTGCGATGGCAAGTAGTTCGCCTGACGTCCTCTAGGAGGTATTTACCAGTGATGCCAGTAATGGGGCACCTAGGTATCTTAATCTTAGCTGCGTTAGTACAGGACACCTGCAGATAAGATGTTTCAAGGTTCCGGTTGCCTCGAATCAGAGCGGGTCCAGCACCTTTCCTAGCGTCTTGAGCAAGAATGAGGTGAGACTTGGGGTGATGACATGGGGTGATGACTTCTTTGGTGACACAGTGCTTTTATCTCCGCGAAGGAATCCTGATCACTATCAGTACCAACAAGAGTCAGTAAGGAAACCTAGGATTGCCGATAACTTTAGCTTTCCTATGCTTCCCAGTGGCTCCCTCCCACAACGCTCTGTGGCCGATCGTTTGCGTCAACCACTTCCGAGTCGGGTCGTCCAACCACTTCGGAATTTTGACCCCGTTCAGCCACCCCGCATCATAAAATGTGGGCATAGGAGCCTTGGAATCATCCTTCATCCCTGCAAAGAGCGATTCGACGAGTCCCGCGTGTCTGCCATCTTCCACAGCGCTTCGGTCTTCTTGCAGTGCTACAATCAGATGTCGTTTTGTCATCTCATTGACTCTCACCCTTTTTCTTCTTCGGCTTCTTCACTTTGGGTATGGCACCTGCCTGCGTTGCCTTTTGCTAGCCAGCAACTTCTCCACCTTGGCATAGTGTAACCTGCCCTCTTCAATTCTTTGCTAGGCCCAGGCTAGTTTCGATTCGCTTGAACGTTTCGGGCCATCCCTGGGCGAGGAGCTGGGGCCTGGTTTCTGAGAGAGGGGAAAATCCTCCTCTTCTTTAGTGAGCTGCACGCTCTCCAGGTTCCAGAATGTATTAACGATGGCATCCGTACCGTATATCTTGCCCTGAGTCGTTGTGGTGGTGACAGTGTTGGTACAACTAGTATGTCCTGCTTCCGTCATGCTAGAGGTTTGAACGCTGGCGACACGCAGAAAGGATTGCTCCCCACCTTACACGTATGGGCTGATATCCCGCCCGGATGGTTTTATTATGTCATCCATAGTAATCTCCATATAAACTGGTTAGTGTTCCGTGGAACTACTCATTTGCATTTAATGCCTGCCGCCAGGCTCCATGGCTAATGATTAATTTCCTCCAACGATTAGGCGGGAGGAATTGAGTCGAAGCCTTAGCTAGACAATGCATTACCTCGGATAGAGCATTCGGCAATGTATTACCCGCCCATTGTCCAGGCGGCGCCGTCGAGAAAAGTTCAGCTGGAATGTAGCAATGCATTGATTTTTCCACAAGAAATCTCATTAGTGAACATTTTGCTATGATTAACCTAGGGACATAAGTCGCATTTAAAACGACCCTATCCAAAAAACCAAACTTCCAAATTTCGGAATTTTTTTGTTCTGATATTGATGGGCTAGAGGGGGAGATTGGCTAGTGTGCGTCTTTGGCTTAATGCCGGCTATGAAGATTTCAACGAAATTTCGTGAAGCTACTGTTTTGTTTAATGAAATTTCTTTAGAAGTTTAAAGTAATTGCAAAATTTGCATTGGTAATAATATAGTTAAAGAGAATTAATAGTTCTCACTATTAATAAACTTTAGATTAGCTTTAAATTAGACCGTCAAACGTGGTGCACACGTTATTGTTCTTACAGGGGATTTGCAAGGTTTGGGTGACCATGACCACCTGGGTCAACAAACACCACTTTTGGCGATTAATTATTATCGAGTATATATTCCTATACTGGATTCGCAGCACTCCTTCGACATATAAAGTTTCTTCCCTCCAGCACGCAAATTCAAATTACCTTAAACATAATTACCTTAAATATAAGACACAAAAGCAAAAGAATAATTGAAGAGTGGAAGCCACTCTTCAGTCACTCTGCAAACTTTGCAAATGCAATCCATCATATATTCTGACGTTTGTCACGCTTAAAGTACGGAATGGAGAGGTTAAAACTGTTTTGCAGCGCGAAAAATTTTATTCTTTTGAAGTGTGACCGCTCTTTTCACGTATTATTCGTCACTTTTGGAGGGCAAATGGAGCGGTCATACTTTGTTGACCCGGCTCTTTTGAAACTTAAGAACATTTTTTGCTTGGTTTTTGAAAATTGATAATTGATGATCTCTTGCCCCAATGCGATTGGCATATATTCTTGCTATGGTGCCTTCCTTTTACAGCTCCCAGATGTCTTAATATGAAAGTAATCTGTAATACCTGTACAAGGAGCTCAGATGATTTGATACGAGTGGATCGGTTTCCGGTACATGAAAGAAAATAGTGTCCCCAGTGGCCAAACCTATGTACTATTTTGGCGTATCCTTTGGGTCAGTCCTGGATAAGGCTGGCAATCGAAATGGCTTGTTTTTCCTAAAAATGTGCAAATTTGGGGGTATATAAATAGGTATATAACTTGTGAAGTGCGTCAAGCTATCTCTGGAACTAGATGCAGTCTATATGGACCATTTTCAACATCAAAACTGCCTTCGTTTGACTCATTAGCTTAAAAAACGTACCATTCAGTTCACGAGATAAGTTAAACCAAGAAGTGAAAGCTTTTCGTCCTTTTAACGGACCCAAATTGATTGATTTGACCTTGATTTTTTATATTTTACTACTATGTAATCCATTTGATGAATTTATATCATATGTAACTACTTAAATCAGTCTGTACTATCAATACTGTCTATCTATCTACTGTCTATCAATATTCTTGTAAGTTTTTTTTTCTAACTTATTCCTATTCTAAGATATTAAATGCTGCTCAGAGTTTTCATCAATGAACTATGGGGAATTTTCCTATTTTTATGGTATTAGTTAATAGATTTTAAACTAAATACAATTTTTTTAACCCGATTTTTTTTTTAAATAAAGAAATAGTTTTAGAAAAAATGGGTGCGGTTCAGCGCAGCCTTGACGAGGAAAATGTTGTATTCCATATAGAAAAGTTGATTAGGAGGGGACCAATTTTAGTGCAATTAAGAAACAATTAAACATAATTGATAACTGAAAAAATGATACAATATTTTCATTTTCGTCAAACATAAAATACGAATCGTCAATTTCATCTGTAATTTCTTGAAATGATTGATTCAGGCCTTCAAATTCGCATTATGAGGGGCTTCTAACTTCTGTAGGAATACGCCTTGTTTGTTAAAGAAATAACGAAATCTAATGTATCTAACGGTCTATTAGAAAGATCTATAAATTAAGAAGTTTTTCTGACTTATGAATATTTTTGCGTGCTGTCGACGATTATTCGACAAAATAATTTTTTTTCGCATAATATGCTTTTAATGGGCAATTCATTTAATTTATACAGAGGGTAAAAGTCGGCGCCTCTGTTATTTGCATTCTCTCTAATAGCGCACTACAGCTCCTTTTGTAAGCCTTGATCAAATATAATGGGTAACACCTTCGCCTTTGATGCTCGAACAGGCCAATTTATACTGTTTGTCAAAGTCTGCCCAATAGCCTTTGCGTTTTTGGGACTATTCGCAGGAATATTAAGGACAATGCAATGCCGAATAAGTCTATTTCGGGCATCAAATTTGTCGTTTTCCATGTCGGTTCCATGACCGCATATTAAATGTTGCTAACGTGATCCAAATTATTTTGCTGGGACAGGAATAAAACTTAAAAGCTCGACACCATAATATATTGCTATCATATATATACACATGTATTAGAAACTTATTATTTGTATACATAGAAAAAAAACGGTTATACATATACAAATGAAAGAGAAGACGGATATAGAAATATGGACTGCCTAAATTTTCACTGCTGCGATCTAGTTTAATGATATTATTTATTATAAAATATTATTATTATTACGTAGTCAGTAACCGCATTGCTATTATTACTAAATATTTCAGGAGAGCGTTATGATTTTGTTATTACCGCGGATCAACCTGTTGGGGCTTATTGGATCCAATTGCGAGGGCTTGGTGAGTGTGGTATTCGTAGAGCTCAGCAACTTGCTATACTGAGGTATGCACGTGGTCCCTATCAGCCAACTTCTCCATCGCCCACTTACGACGTCGGAATACCGCAAGGTGTGGTAAGTAGAAGTCACGTAATTTAAAAGAAACATACCTCATGTATTGACATGCTTACTTTTTCCTGTGTTACTGAGAGAACATAAAATTTAAAAACCTACGTTTCCTTCTATAAAGCAAATTCAGAAGCTACCATTCATAAGGTAAAAGTTTATAATCGCATTCGCTAAATGCTAAATAATCTTTCTTGTATCACTTTATATCTCTTGAACTAAGAATAATAACCATTCTTTACAAACCAACAAATTTTTTAAAACAAATATTTACATTTAACAAGTGTAAATTTCGTTTACAAAGTTTTTCAAACGCAATATTACAGGTCGACAAAATTAGATTCACGTTTTTTTTTACCTGTCATGTACAAAAGTTAAAGTTGCCCTATATAAAACTAGAGTTTCTTAAACTTTCTATACTTTTACGTGATTTAGGTTTATCTGTCGGTATTTTATTTGACACGAAGTGCGCTGATTTAAGATCAAGAAGTGCTCCGCTATTATCTTATGTTTAATGTTATGTTGGAGAGTTTGGCTAATTCTCAAGGAAAAAATCATCTTATTTTTAATATATGTATACAAAAGTCATGATAACTAACACCTTGAGACAACATTTTTTAAGAATTGGTAAACCTTTAAGAAAAACTTAAATTTGGAAAATATTGCATTATTTTTCAAGCATAAAACGTATAGCTAAAATTTTATAATGTTGTAATCTTATTTAACCTCAGTAAATTATTTGTTTTGATTTATTTGAATTTTGTTCATGTTAATTTGATAAATCTTTTACAAACAAAACAAAGTTGGCTCTGATCGAAATATAAAATAAATTATTCACGCGGCAGCCCTGAGAGCAAGGGATTCAGAACCGCTTTAACTTCATAAATAAAACCCCTCTGTCGGGCGTCAAGTAAGTTGATGGGCCGCGGCTTTAAGCTGAAGTGCTGCAAATGCAAAAGATATCGCAAATGTAAGCATCCGATTTAGTAACCCAGGCAGTACAGTAAACGGCTGAGGGAGCTGAAGATATGCGTAGAGCAGATGCTCTAGACTTTCGGAGTTGACTTCTGACCTCATAATGCATTGGAGATTCCGAGGCAACCGCTGATAGGGTTGTCTGCGGACACTGCACAGAGGACGTCCGTTAACGATCGTGGGTCGCTGCTGATGACTTGGTATCCTTTTCCTCCGATCCCGCTGATGATGCGCTGCACTATCTATGACGACTAGTCCTCATGTCGGGCCCTTTCTAGCCTTTGCAGTTTTTGGGCCAATTCTATGTAACGTCATGTACGATGGGATACGGAGGCTAACACTGCGTGATGGGTGCTCCGTAGGTTGTTTTGCACACAACATCGGGCTGGTCATTGTGGAGAACCACCTGACTGACGATTCTAACAAATGCAGTCCAGCGATCGAAACGGAAGTAGTGCTCATAAGCAGCAGAAAGGCCGTAGAAATGGTGAACTTTCGGGTTGTCTCGACCACCATCATGCCGGCGATCGTGGTTTAAGCATCTCTCATCATCTTTCGAAATGGACGGACGTGTTTTCTTGCGCTCTCGTTTTGTGTTAAAGTTCGCAAATAACCACCGGGGTTAAATTTAAGTTTTCTATTTTGTGTTAATAACTTCCCGTTCACTTCGCGTGTACATGCAGCTATTCTTATTTGTGTTTATTATTGGTTTTATTTCCCAATTAAGTTGTGCTGCTATTGCTAGCTTTTGCATATTTTGCATTACTTTTTGTGCCTTCTTCGTTTTGTTTTTGGTTGCGCCGTCGTATCGGCTAACGTTTTAGTTAGTTATCTCCCACGCTCTCTCGCTTTCGCTGTGCCGCTGCACTTATTATCTTATCTGATCTCCAACGCTCTCCCGCTCTCTCGCTCTCGCTGTGGGCTCTCAGCAGCAGCATCCCTCGGCACAGCCCTCGACCTCAGCATTAATTCCAAGAGGGCTGAGATCGAGCGCTAGAAAAGATTCGGTACCCGAATGTGCAACGGGAGTGCCCGCCGGTGATTTCTGTTTTGTCCCCTGGGGGTCGCAAATATTGCCTCTCAAAATCCTTTGTATACCGCTCTATTTGCCCAGGGTGTTAAGCCCGGAATACCGGCCGACAATGGCACGGCAGATAACCAATCTGCCTTGCCAAAAGCCCTTATAGCGGTTCCACCGACGAGACATATTTTTGTTTCGCGGCTCTCCCCTGATCAAACATCGGTAGATGTTCTCGCCTTTATACAAGGCAACACCAGAGCCGAAAAATAAAGATTAAGGGATATTTCATCTTTTAAAATAAATGTCCCTATCGAACTCTTTAACACTACCAACTTGTGGGCAGAGTACGTTGTTGTTCGAAGCGAAGAAAAAGAAAAGCGGACTGTAGGAATAACTCTTCCCAGGACTGAGCGTACCACTTCGCCTTCTACGTCTTCCAATCCCGACTCAAAAAATTAACCTACTCCCTAGGTATTTCCTATCAGAATGTAAGAGGCTTACGTAGTAAGCTTCCTTACTTGTATTCTGATAGCCTTTCGTTTGCATCTCAGGTTATTGTGCTCACAGAAACCTGGTTAAAGTCGGAGATTCTGAGCTCCGAAGTTTTTTTAACTGTGTTCACAGTATATCGGCTAGATCGCCCTATCAGACGCGAGGGTGGAGTTTTTATAGCGGTGGACTCCTCACTCCTTTCAGAATTATTAACCTTCGAGGAATGCAACGATGTTGATTTCCTCAGTGTGAAGGTAGCTCCATTTTTATTACCTGTTCCTACATACCTCCATTGTCGGAACTACCTATTTATTGGAATCACCGTTCCGCTGTTCAGATGGTTTCCAGTAGACTTTTGGATAGAGACCAGTTGGTAGTCCAAGGAGATTTTAATATCCCTGGTGCTATTTGGTGCTCAAATAATTCAACCAATACTCTCCTAACTTCTACACGACATGACTTTGACTGGCATGTTCAACATTTCGCTGTCTCAAGTCAACCATGAACGAAATTCCTTACAGCGCTTGCTCGATCTTTGTCTTGTCTCAGATCCGGCGATAGTCAGTTTAGCCAGGGTGGCGCCTCTGACGCAATCCGAAGATCCCTATCATCCTATTTTCGAGTTGACTCCTGATATTGGGTCTGAAATACAGAATATATATAACGGTCCAGTCAAATATGTCCAGTTTTCGCAAGACGGACTTTGAACGGCTGAATTATTTTATATATGAGTTCAAGGTGGAGAGGAGTATACATGTACACTGACATGGCAGTTGCCGTAGATATTTTTTATAATGCCATGAATTCATTTTTATTGATTGTGTACCGTTGTACTATTCACCAATCTCGAATTAACCTCCGGGGTTTATTAAGAGTTGAGCCGACTAAAAAATAAAAAATTCGAAGCTGTATGCTAAATTCACATTCAACGGTTCTTAATCTACATTTCTGTGCTCAGGTATTGTGCCGACACCTTGTGCTATCCCCTTCTGAAATTGTTGAAATTTATCCTAAGAAACCTCCCACTTTCCCATTAATTGGAAGGAATCGTTTTACTATTCCTCTCCATAAGAAAGGTAGCAAATTGGATGTCAACAATTATAGAGGAATATCTAAGTTGTCGGCTTTTCCTTAACTTTTCGTAGAGCAGTGTATTTCTCCATGTCAACATGGTTTTAACTCATCGGCTGAAAAGTCCCGGGCCTAACATATAAATCGCGATTTTTTTTGCAGTTAACTTTTTTTTAGGTAATGCGATCTTTCATAAGACAGCTCTTAAAATTTCATGATATTCTATTCATGAGTTTGTGAGTTATTGTGTTATGAGTGACGCTACTTTTTTTATTTTAAAAAAAGTGGATCAAAAACAAATTTGTGTTTTGATATAACACTGATTCTTGATGGGAAAACATACCATTCAAGGAAAGCCTTGGCTTGAAAAGTGTTAGGCCGTCCAAATGAGGAGGTAACACCGCAAAACATCAAAAAAATCCACAAAATCGTTTTGAATGATCAAAAAGGGAAGTTGCGTCAGTTAGCTGACATCGTAAAGATATGAAAATAATGTTTTAGATTTATATTGAATGAGCATTTGACTATGATAAAGCTTTTCCCAAAATGGGTGCCACATTTGCATCACAAGGCAACACACCTTATCACAAGTCAATCAAAAGAATGGCAAAGACTACATGAATACAACTTCGAATTGCTCCCACATCCATCCATTATCACGAAAATGGAGGCCTATTTTGGGGCAAAAGAAAAATCGTTCTACAAAAGTGGTTGAAATGTTAGAGCGGCGCTGGAATGATTGATTGATTAATTTGATAAATAAAGCAAATTTTAAACAAAAAAAAACGCGTTTTCAGCCGATGTGTTATAAAGCGAAGATCAACAACAATAACTTGATTTAGTGGGTTTTCCAAGGGATCTTCTTAATTGGGTCTAAACTGTTACTTGTTGTTGTTACTTACACGCTGAACTGCTGCTCTTTGGAAAGAATTACTACTGTTGATGATATGGGCGTCCGCTTGGACCCAAAACTTGACTTTATTGATCATATTTCGTCTATGGTGAATAGAGCCAGGGGTGTGCTTAGATATATTAAACGGTGGTCGAAGGAATTTAATAACCACTATGTCACTAATTCCTTATATATCTCTTTAGTTCGTCCTATCTTAGAATATGGATGCTGCGTTTGGAGCAAACAACCTGGCAGCGCGCCGGTAGTCAATTTCCTCGTATTCTGTCCCATATTTCCATCGCGCCTACTAACACCTAACCCAAACAGGCACGTGCCTGGGGTCGTACGGGCCACTTGAGTGTACTGACCGTTGTGCGTCAACGTCAATATAAATAGAATGGGTTACTTCTGCAATTTTTTACCTCACCCTTAGAAATCTTTCACTTTCTCTTATTTGAAAGAAAAAATCTTTTGTTATTCCTATCCACAAAAAAAAAAACAAATCGGGTGTCCAGCGCCAAGAACATTACAAGAGTTCTACGAAAACTCGTGAAAATGCCCTTAAAACCGTTTTTGTTTTGCCGCATGAAAGACATAATTTCCCTTTCTGCATCGCGACAGGCCTCGCAGCAGTAACGCAGGCCGATGTGTTTTTTTACATCGTCCACCGTCCGAGCTACAACACCAATACACTTGGCGTACACTTGGCACCTGCAAAAATAGCCTCTGCAGGTTTTGGCGAAATAGACATTAATTCCGGACATTATTAAGACTTACCACTGTACTTGTACTTCAGAAAAAGAGAGGAAAAAAACAACAGCGTTATGAAGATATGAAGTGAAGAGTCACAGCGAGAGCGAGAGAGCGGAAGAGCGTTGGAGATCAGATAAGATAAGAAGTGCATCGGCACAGCGAAAGCGAGAGAGAGTGGGAGTGACTAACTAAAACGTTAAGCTATTGCTACGGCGCAAACAAAAGCAAAACAAAGAAGGCACAAAAAGGAATGCAAAATATGCAAAGCTAGCACTAGCAGCACTACTAAATTGGGAAATAAAACCAATTATAAACACAAATAAGAATAGCTGCATGCACACGCGAAGTGAACGGGAAGTTATTAACACAAAATAGTAAATTTAAGTTAACCCCGGTAGTTATTTGGAAACTTTAACACAAAACGACAGCGCAAGAAAAAAACGCGTCCGTTCACTTGGAAAGATGAAAGATTAAAAACATTAGATAAATTATTCTTAAAAAGAACCTTTTGCATCCTGTCATTTAAATAACTTGAGATCAATTAAGATCAACTGGAAAACCCATTAAATCGATTTTCCTAATGAGGAGAGAATGGTTAACTGAGTTAAATGCTTTACTGAAATCAGTATAGATTACATCTGTCTGAAAATTATTATGGAAGTCCCTAGTAATATAGGAAAAATGTTCCAAAGGCTTTGTTGTTCTTGATCTTTACTTAATAATTCCATGTTGACATGGAGAAAAAACTGATCTACAAATGTACTGCAAATGGGGAGTTATAACGTTTTCGAAAAGTTTTGGAATGGCCACCAATTTAGAGATTCTTCTATAACTTTTGGCATCTGACTTGCTATTATATTATATTAAAATATTCCATCCAGATAAGAGAGAGTGGGTGGTTTCTAAGGATAGGGTTAACAATTTCAGAAGGGGATAGCACAGGGCGTTGTCTCAATACCTGTGCACACAGTCTGGAATTCTGTCCGGAACTGGTGAATAAATAACAATGAATAGCTTAACAATGAAGAGTAGAGCTTAAACAAGGAATAGAGTTTAAACTGGAGGTGTAAATTAGGTTCGTTTTGGACATGATGTACGAATAAGTCTGATTTGAATCCGAGCGAGGACGGTTCGTTCGGCTTCTACTTAGAATTAATAATACTGTAAAACTCTTTTTTTGGTCCTGTGAAAACTGCACAATGCAACCAGTCAAATTCTATAGTATATATACATAACACTCTGCGGTAAAGTTTTAGCGAGCTGATAAATTAGTAAAAAGGACAGTTTGAGAACCGTAAAGCTTAAATTTAGCATACAGCTTTGAGTTTTTAATTTTAAGGTGACTCAACTGTTTAGTATCCCAAGGAGGCTGTTTCGAGATTGACGGATATATTGACAGTCGCATCGAAAGCAGGATGATAGGGATAGCTAAAACAAACAAAGATCAAGCAAGCGCTTAAGGAATTTCGTACATAATTGAAAATGTCGAACAAGCCAGCAAAAAGTTATGCTGTCTTGTAGTTAGGAGAGTATTTAAAGAATTATTTGAGGACCAAATAGACCCTGAAGTTAAAGTCTCCGTCTTTAACCAGGTTTTTGCGAACACAATAACTTGGGAATCAAATAAAGTCTATCAGCAAACAAGTGGAAGCTAACTATGCATGTCTTTGCATTCTGATAGGAAATACATGCAGTTTATTAGTTTTTTGATGCGGAATTAGAAGATGTAGAGGGCGCAGTGGTCTTATCGAGTCTAGAAACAGTTATTTTTTCTGTTTTTTTTTTTTGTTTTTGAAGTTCTATCTGCCAGGTTATATCGGCGTGCCGATGTTAGCTTCCCAAATATCAGTTTCGTTGGTGGGAATGCTTTAAGGACTTTTGGCCGGTACTCCGGATCCGACACCCTAAGAAGATAAATAAACTGTGCTTAATTTCTTAAGACACATCAGGAGACTATTACGGGCAAGGACACGGGTACTCCTTAGCACATTTGGATATAAAATCTTTTTTAATATTAGGAAACTAAATCAACAAAGATATACCGCACTCGCGGGACGAGGGGTTTGTTCAAAAGTCTCTAGAGGTCAGGCTCCTACGGTGTACAGAGCACATCTTAGTGATTCTTACTCTTGCGTTCGTATTTGCATTTGGAATGATGCCACAGACCCAGGGTAGTGGGCACGGTCTTCACAGCGAAGACCACCCAGTCCAAAAAAGTAGGAAGAGAAAGTCTCGTTGTACTCCTTTATGTTGGCAATGCCACCCACCGGGCTTGGAGCTGGATCAAATCCGATTCCTCGAGCGCTTTGTCAGATACCTTGCCAGTGGTGAAGTTAATGTAGCCGAAGGCCTTGAGCCTCACAACCAGGGCATAAGTGAAGTTGTTCTGGGGAGCGATCCAGTCAACAACAACGGTCTATTGACCACCCACAACCTCCGGATAGAGGAGAGAGAGGAGAAGCAGGTGCTTAAACATCTGGAATGTTAGCTGTTTCTTTGGAGTAACATTTGGTTTTCATTTAATTCTTATTATTTTGGGATATAATAAGTGATGAAGTTGAATGCTTAGGGATTTTTTTTTGTAGTTTGCGCAGGATTAACAGATCTCATAAAGTATAAGTACTAAAGCTACCATAGTATTGCATGGCAAATGTCGGAAGGACCTAAATCGGAACACCATTGTCATAGAAATTACAGAATTAATCATTTAGCGTCTAAATTATAATCGGAAAATTTAAAACTGTAAATGATTTGATCACGATTTGCTTAAAATTTAAAAGTTGTTAAAACTTTTTGTCTTCGATTTAGGTATTCCACATCCTAAGAACTTTGTCCTGTGTTTTTATCGCCCTGGTTATTAAAAAAAAATACAGAAAAAAATTATTTCTGAGTCTGTGACTTAAAAAAATTGTTTGTTTTGTAAAAGAATGTCCTCTAAGAGATATATAGCATGCGAGTAATAAAAAAGAAATGCAAGTAATAATAAAGAAAAATGTGTATACACTTTAGGGAGAACATTTACTATTAAAAAATGTATATATTTTAAACAGATTGTCAAATTTGTTGTTTGGCTTTTTGACATTTTTATCACTTTATTTTTCTTCTTGTTCGGATTTTATTATTATGTATATTATATATATCTTTTAACAACAATGTAGATTGTTACATTTGGTTGTAAGATTAGTTTGTTTATATTAGCTTATATTTTCAGTACTATTAAAATCCATACATTGTAAAACTGTATTAAATAACATGTATATTTTCCTTTTTTTAATTTCCGACATGTAAAATATCACATACATCCAAAACTACTTAAATTTGAATATTCGCACATGTAAATAAAACTACACAATATTTAATTATGAAACGACCGACAAATACGTATAAAATAAAAAGGTTATGAACCCATTGGACGCGCAATGCAATCGTCAACGTAACGATGCCATTTGTGTAAGTCAACTGAAAAACGCTCTTGAAATAGATCGTGGCATATTGGCAGAAAAGCCAGATGTGAAAATTTTCCTTCCGTTCCGCTTTTTTGTATACCGAGCCGAAGATCTTTTCCAGCCGAACACGTATAATCGATTTTTAGGTAAGTTTTCAAGGCTATCTGTAAAATTACGCAGTTAATCAAAATTAATTTCAGTGGCACCCACCGGCGACCATGTCATTTCACTTATCGATGAAATTTCATACTTATCGGCACCTGCACCACTAACATCTCAGTATAACGATATTAATCCAGAACAGTTTTGTAACGGCGACAATCGGCCTGCGGATTGCGGACCAAACTGCATGTGTACGCATAAGATTGATATACCACTTAATGCTATTGTGGAAGTAGTTTTAGTAGATGAAGGTAAGCATTTCCGAAATTTGTATGTTTATATAGATGTTATTAAGTTCTAATGTATTACGGGAAAAATAACAACGGATAAATTAACAATACAAGTTAAAAACATCCATGGAGAAAAATAGTGATATCGGTTTCCGCACTCCTCTTTATTTTTAACTTTTCCCCAAGTTTTTCCATGGGGTTGAGAAAAAATGTCTGGCCTTTGATCAAATTACATTACAGTAGGTGCAGTCGGGCCAAATCTTGTACCTTGCTCATGCGTTTCATTTGATTGTTTTTGTTTTAATTCTCAACTTGGTTTTATACAAGCATTTGTCTCGTACATTGATCTTCGGATTCTCTTTTCTTCTTCTCCTTCTTTGAAACATAAATATATAGGCTTCGAAGTTCGAACTCGTTCTTAAGCTTTCAGTTTCTTTATATCTCTATGTATGGCACATCCCTAGTCTGTCAGTAGTCTGTCTATGATCAGGGAATTCGCTTTTTCTTCTTTGTTAAATGTTCAAATATGGATACATGGCTATCAAAAGGTCAAAACAAAAATAAAAAAGATAACCCGAAGGTAAGGTAATTCAACTTACAATCGGGTTAATTTACCTAGTTTTTTTCGTAAAAGAGAATCTGAGCTCGGGTTATCGGAAGCGTCAAGAAGGAATTGCCGCTCCAAGTTCAAGTTTGACGTCAATATATCTGAAGACAAGTGAGTCAAATATTACACAGTTTCTAAAAATAAAACTCTTGAATAAATTTAATGAAAATTTAATTTAATTCTCAAGCTGTTTTGCAAAGATTCGAATAAGAGAGATGGAAATGATTTAACTAATTGTTAATTCTGTTCGGTGTCGATCCTAGCGTATAAAAGTGACCTTATTCGACATATGAATTTCTAACGCCATAAGAAAATAATATCAGAAATAAAGAACATTCCCGAACTTTCAACGTACTTTTCACACATTTTTAGAAGCTATTAATCGTAATAAAAAAATAATTTCTCTCATTAATTATGGATGAAACGTCGGATCAGAGCTTTTTAAAACAATGCTGTTTTACTGCTGTATTTTATAATGAAAACAACAATTGGATACGGTGGAAGGGTCATTAGGAACTGCTGCGGGACTGTATGACTGGGTAAAACATATGCTTTTAAATAAAAACATACCCATAGAAAACACTTTTGGTTGTGGATCTGACACCACAAACGTATTGGTAGGGGAACATAGTTCCGTTTTTGCTCTTTTTAAGAACGATTTATGTCAAACGGTTCTAGTAAAATGCTCCTGTCATACACTTATCATCATCGAAATCTTGCCCCAAAATGTTAAAGATTTCGTTCGTTCTGTTGGAGCGCACTTCAGTACAAGTTCAAAAAGGCAAATGAAAATGAAAGAATTTCAGGAATTCTTTCAAGCGAAAATCTTGGGCCAGCTCACACTTTCTAGCTGCCTCTAAAATAGTGTGTAGACCGTGTGTTAGAGTAATATATTCCATTCAAAACCTTCTTGACAGGAACAGTGATCCATCGAAGAAAACTGAAGAAATGATCATTGCAATGAAGAACCAATTCACTGTCGTATATTTAGAATTCATGTCCCATTTACTTTCACTGGCAACGAGCTTCAACACCTTGTTTCAAACAAATTGTTTCTTGTTTCCTTATTTCTTTACAAATTAAAACCAAAAGTAAAAAATCTTTTGAAAACACTGCCTGTTATCTTTATGAAAATGTCCTACATCACGTCCTGTGCTAATATTTTTATACCCTTGCAGGGTATTATAATTTCAGTCAGAAGTTTGCAACGTAGTGAAGGAGTCACCTCCGACCATATAAAGTACATATATTCTTGATCAGCATCAACAGCCGAGTCAATCTAGCAATGTCCGCCTATCCGTTTCTGTCAGTTTTAAAGCTATCTGAATGATTTTTATCAAATTTGGGATTTAGCCATTTAATATTATACTTCAATTTTGTGTAAGATTTTATGAAAATCGAACTACTATATCATATAGCTGCCATAGGAACAGTAGAGTAGTAGTAGATTAATACAATTAAAAATTATATTTTTTTCAGTTTTCAATAGATTTTCATCAAATTTAAGACAGCCATTTTATATTATTGTTAAATTTTATTTACAGCTGACATACAAACGATCGTTAGATATAGAGAAAAATGCAAAACTGTGAATATAAAGCTGTAAATATAATATGTATAGGTTGAAGAAATGAAAGCAGGCATTACTTCATTGTTTTTTTAACATAAGTATATATAATTTATATTGTATTAAATCCTAGTCACCGAAGTTCTATCTGCAAGGGTATATAAACTTCGGACATGGCTAGATCGACTCGGCTGTTGATCCTGATCAAGAATATATATACTTTATATAGTCAGAGGTGCCTCCTTCACTGCGTTGCAAACTTCTGACTGAAATTATAATACCCTGCAAGGGTATAAAGATAAACAATAAATATTATTTAAATAATTGATTATAGATTCATTTTATAAAACTCTTTTTAGGGGAATTTGTGAAGAATCAGTTGATTTTAATCCCCAAATTTCAGGAATTCGATCACAATTTTTGGGAATTTGGATGAATTAGCTTTGGCAACCATTCTGGCTATAGACTGGCTCTAGGATCATGTATTTATTAAGCCAATCCGACAAGTATTTCTGAAAATACACGCAAACTATAAAGACGTTTTAAAAAAATTATAACATTATATCTCGGAAATGACTAAGCAGATTGTCACATCTGAATTAAGCCAGAATAAAATGTTGCAAAAAGTATACTATTTAAGGTTAATATATATTGCTTTTTTTAATGCCAATTTCGTTTAATTTATTTATTGCTTTGACTAACTTATATGTTGATTATACATTATGTTAACAAGAGTTATGTTTTTTATTTCTGTTGATCAACTTCAGATCAGATTATATACTGGTCAGTGCCAAATACATTTAGTGGAATGGGTTCTGGATGGCTTTAGCAGCTGAAAACGATAGACTATAGACGTATTTATACCCACTTATAGCCTTACAGGCTATTGTAACTTTAGTCAGAAGCTTGCAATACAGTGAAGGAGACATTTTTAACCCTATAAAGTAATTTATGGGCAATTCTCCAGAAAGGTCCACCGCGGTAAAAAAATAAAAATGTTTAAAAACGATTATTCTTATCATGGTTACATAAAAAATTTGTCGGATTGATCAAGATAAGAAGAAATTTTAATTTTCTAAAATAAATTTCGAAATAATCGATGTCAAACACGCGTAAACGCAATTTATGTTATTTTTATATAAAAAAAAATAAACAAGAAAGGGAGCTAACTTCGGCACGCCCAAGTTTATATACCCTTGCAGATAGAACTTCTATGACTAGGAATCCATACAATATAAATTATATATATTTGTGTTAAAAACAATGAAGTAATACCTGGTTTCATTTAATTCACCTATACATATTATATTTGCAGTTTTACATTCACGGATTTGCATTTTTCTTCTACATCTAACGATCGATTTTTATGGCACCTATATGATATAGTTGTCCGATTTTCATGAAATTTGACACCAAATTAAAGACTAATATAAAATGGCTATACCTCAAATTTGATGAAAATCTGTTGAGAACTGAAAAACTTATAATTTTTAATTGTATTAATTTCCCGATCGTTCCTATGGGAGCTATATGATATAGTAGTCCGATTTTCATAAAATTGTATGCAAAATTGTAGAGTATAGTAAAATGGCTATATCTCAAATTTGATCCAATTCTATTGAAAACTGAAAAAGTAAAAAATTTTTTTGTAAGCTATGTGATATAGTCGTCCGATCCGTCCGTTCCGACATATATACGAGTGAGAGTATATAGAAGGCTAACTACAAAGTTTCATTCAGATAGCTACAAAAATGAGAGACTAGTTTGCGTAGAAACGGACAGACGGACAGAAGGACAGACGGACATGGCTAGATCGATTCGGCTGTTGATCCTGATCAAGAATATATATACTTTATATGGTCGGAGGTGCCTCCTTCACTGCGTTGCAAACTTTTGACTGAAATTATAATACCCTGCAAGGGTATAAAAATGGCATGTTTTGTTTTGATTCCAATCTCTTAAACAAGAACATGTTGCTTTGGCTTTGGCTTTCTTATATCAAATAGAGAATTAGAAAAAGAGTCAATATAAAACTCAAAAAGACATATGTAATTACCATTCATTCGTACAGTTTTAATTTAAATTATCGGTTTCTAAAATGGTGCGTGCAAGCGGAACTAAAAATACATATTAAAAATAACTGCTTAATACTTTAAAGTCAAACAAAATACATTATTAAGTCAATATAAAACTCAAAAAAACATATGTGATTACCATTCATTCGTACAGTTTTAATTTAAAGTATCGGTTTCTAAAATGGTGCGTGCGACCGGAACTAAAAAATAAATTTTAAAAATAACTGCTTAATATTTTAAAGTCAAACAAAATACATTATTAAAATAATTCATTGCAAAATTCATTAAGATTGATTGTATTACAATTTTTATCACGCCTCGCTGAAATCAGAGCTTAAACTGGTTTCTTGCAAATGTGAACATCTTGAAACCTATCTTAGCACCAATTATGATGCTAAAAAAGAGCTGTAAGTTTCAAATTTTGTAAAATTAAAATAAAGTCTTGGCCCATGTTTTTTTTAGTTTGAATGCGTACGAATGTAGCTTTCGACGTCAGACTATATTAGGCTTCTTTATTAATGTATTCATTTCTATGAAGCTTCATAAATCTCTACAGTAGTGTAGTGTAGTGTGTCCTCACTTATAGAAAAACATAGGGTTGTACTTTTTATGAGTTACTAGTTGTATTGTCATTTTTTACATCAAGCAAAACAGCTTGTGTGTTCTATTACACAACTGTCCAAGTGAGTTGAGTATTGGTCAACACGTGCAAAATGTATAGTAAGGAAAACGACTCTTATACATCGAACGCAGAAAGTAGGTAGGTTACAGT